ATCAGGATGATTTCAGTATCATCAACTGGAGCGACATGAACACATTTAGCTGCTGGATGGCCCTGATGGATTACATCACAGTAGCATTCGAATAGAACTACGCGACGGAAAGAACAGTTTTTCGAATAAAATAAATAATAGTATAGAAGAAAACAGCAAACAAACCAATAGAAGTTTAAATCAAAAAAATTAAAAGCAAACTACCTATTTTTCTTTTGAAATAATCATCGATGTCTTCTCGGTCGCGGATGATGGTGGCTTTGGTTTGAAATCTGTAGCAAACAATTGCCGCCAACAAGTGCAAGTCATTGACAGCTCAACATCATTTACTTGTAAGCAAATGTTATCCCGATGTGTTCACCCCTAATCATTTTGGCCTATGGCCTTTCATTATACAAAAAAGTGCAGATAACAACGAAAGCAACATAATGCCATGCCCTTTCAATTTTCGTTAGAGAAAAGGAGATACCAGGCGGTACCTCAATAGCCTCAACTACTTTAAGGTTCAATTTACTTTGACGCTTGTTGGAAAATTTCAAAAGCTGTTTTTTTCCGACGCATTACTTCAGATTGCAAAAAGCTCGCACTATTCGATTCCTTTTGATATTTACACAAAATGACGCGAGTTTTTTGCAATCTAAAATAATGCGTCGAAAAAAACTACTTTTGAGTTTTTAAAAAATGCATCAAAGTAAATTGAACCTTAAGCTAGTACGTATGAGTAGATAGTGTTGCCGTGAGGTACACTCGTAATTTTAAAATGTAAGTGCGTCAAATCGAAAAACACCTTGTTGTCTAAGAAAATGTATGGGAAATTGTTATGCTTCCAATTTTCGTTAAATTTCTTAGCTGTTGCTGGATAAATTCCCCGTCGAATGGCATATTGCATGACATATTTCGCATTAATGCATCTAAGATATACGCGTTTGAAAACACCCCCTGTTTTCGTTACATTTTGTTTTAACTCTATTTGTTACAAATTCAAAATAAATTACATTTCATTTTAACCTAGGTGCTCCAGTTACGGCAGTAACGTACCAGCCTTAATTGTTATGATATATATCTAAGTGTTTTTACATTGTTCATGTCTTTGCAATTCAGTATTTTAAACAGGTTTTTTAACCTGCATGTCAGTATAACAATTGACATATTAAAACTAAAAACTAAAACTAAATCTTATCTAAGTATAAAGGGAATTAATCGTTGCAATTGAGGATTGCAACGATTTTTGCCTGAAATTATTAATTATTTTGTTGGACATTTGTTCTAAAGTCTCAACATTCGAAATTCTATGTACCTCGGTAGTACTGAACCAGGGAGGCAACTTCAAAATCATTTTCAGAACTTTGTTCTGAATCCTTTGAAGTGGTTTTTTCCTGGTAGTGCAACAACAAGACCATATTGGCACAGCGTAAAGCATGGCCGGTCTAAACACTTGTTTAAATATTAGAAGTTTATTCGTCAGGCAAAGTTTGGATTTCCTGTTTATAAGAGGATACAAACATTTTATATATTTGTTACATTTGGCTTGAATGCCCTCAATGTGATCTTTAAAGTTAATTTTTGGTCAAGTATTAATCCAAGATATTTCACTTGGTTTGACCAGGAAATTGGAACTCCGTTCATAGTGACTATGTGACTACTACTAGGTTTCAAAAAGGAAGCTCTAGGCTTATGTGGAAATATTATAAGTTGAGTTTTGGAGGCGTTGGGAGAAATCTTCCATTTTTGTAAATAAGAAGAGAAAATATCTAAACTTTTCTGCAGTCTGCTGCAAATAACACGAAGACTTCTTCCTTTAGCGGAAATGCCTGTGTCATCAGCGAACAAAGATTTGTGGCAATCCTGAGGCAAATCAGGGAGGTCTGAAGTGAAAATGTTATACAATATAGGCCCAAGAATGCTACCCTGATAAACTCCTGCTCTAACAGGTAGTCTATTGGATTTGGAATTTTGATAATTTACCAGCAGAGTTCTGTCAGTTAAATAATTTTGCAGCTCTTGCTTCAACTATAGAAGTAGTCAGAGATTCAAGAGCATAATTAATTTCATCTTTGGTTTGCAAAGGAATGTTTGGATCTAAGTTATATTTCATAAATGTTCGATATTGCTCCCAATCAGCCCTATGGTAATTGAAAGTAGAGCTGTTGGGATTACAAATTATTTCTTGGGATATTTCAAAAGTTACTGGAAGGTGATCAGAACCGAAGTCAGCATGGGTAACCAATTGGCTACAAAGTTGACATGAATCAGTTAAGACCAAATCAATAGTGGAGGGATTTCTTGCAGAAGAAAAGCATGTTGGGCTGTTTGGATATTGAATAGTGTAATAACCTGCAGAACAATCATCAAACAGAATATTACCATTGGAATTGCTTTGAGCATTATTCCATGAGCGGTGTTTTGCATTAAAATCACCAATAATGAAGAATTTAGACCTATGACGGGTAAGTTTCTGAAGGTCACCCTTGAGAAAATTCTTTTGCTGGCCTACGCATTGGAATGGCAAATAGGCAGCTATAAACGTAAGTTGTCCAAATTTTGTTTCAACAGAAACTCCCAAAGTTTCAAAAACTTTGGTTTCAAATGAAGAAAGAATTTTATGTTTGATTCGTCTATGAACAATGATGGCAACGCCACCACAGGGTCCATCAAGACGATCATGTCTATAAATTAAATAATTTGAGTCCTTCTTAACCTTATGGTCAGGTTTAAGGAACGTTTCAGTTATAACGGCAATATGCACGTTATGAACTCTCAAAAAGTTAAATAGCTCGTCTTCATTATCTTTAAGAGATCGCGCATTCCAATTTACAATATTTAATGCTTTAAAATCCATTACTGAATTTTAAATTCATGACAATATTATTTGCTAATTTTACTCCAGTTTGAATAGCATCAAACATGGAGTTAGATTTAAGCATATCAGAAATCATGTCAATTAATGATTTCTGTAAAAATTCCATTTTATTTAGGGGCAGTAATGCTTCCTAAGTCAAAATTGTCAAAATTTCCGTTACTTTGGTTAGTATTTTGAATTCTACCCGATGCAATAGCAGCATAGGTAGCTCCATTAGCTCGCTGAACATTGTTAGCAGCGAGGGGAGTAGGTACAGATGAAAAATTTGAAGCAGGGGTGATATTTGTACCTACGGGTACGAATGTAGAACTTGTTCCTCGCTGACCGTTGTTAACAGCAGATGAATTTGTACCTGGTCGGAAACGTAGAGCGTTTCCTACCTGACGGTTAGAACGAGATTGTAGGATCGCTTTGCGAGTCTTACATTCCCAAAAATTGGATTTGTGGTTTTCACCACAATTTGAACATTTAAATTTCTTAGGATCTTCCTTCACAGGACAGTCGTCCTTTGCGTGAGAGGAATCACCACAATTCATGCATTTAGCTGGCATGTAGCAATTTTTAGTTCCGTGACCCCATCCCTGGCACTTACGGCACTGAGTGAGGTTTTGGAAATTTCCTCCAGTCTTCCTGAAGTGTTACCACTTCACTCGGACATGGAGCATAAGGCTAGCTTTTTCTAAGGCCTTAAGGTTGTTTAGTTCACTAGACTTGAAGTGAACTAAATAAAAATCATTCGAAATCCCGTTGCGCGAATCGCCAGGACGGGATTTCATTTTCATTTTGATTACTTGGAGTGGCACAACTCCAAGTAATTTTGCCAGTTCATCTTTCATCATCACCACTGGGCAGTCCTTTCATGACAACCTTGAACACACGTTCAGTTTTGGTGTCGTAAGTAAAAAATTTGTGCTTCTTCTCAGTAAGATACTTGAGAAGACATTTAAATCCGTCCAAGGTTTCAGCCAATACACGGCATTCACCCCGACGTCCAATTTGTAGAGAAAACTTAACTTTCACGAAGTTCAAAAGTTCCATGCGAAGAGCATGGAAATCGGAAGTGGTTATCACAATAGGGGGAATCTTTTCCTTCTTGGCATTAAGCCGGGAAAGTTTACTAGAATTTTTCTTGGATGATGGATCATTCTCATCATCCGTGAGCAAATCAAATTGATTACTAAAATTGATTTCATCAGAAGAGGGATCAAGAGTTTGCCCCTTTCTTTTGCGTTTAGGCGCCATGGCGGCAGTAAATTTTTATCCAAATCGACTTCCAAGCAGATTACTATAAGAATCTGAAGGATCGAAGAGGAATTTTCCAAATCGATATCCAAGAAGGATTACCTCGGGTAGGGTCCAAACAAGGATCGAAGAGGAATAAGAGTTGAACAAGGTAGAAAATTTTTACAGGTTGAGCACTGAAAAGTGCTGTTTAAATTTGTTGTAGCTTTAGGTAGTAGTAACACTTCCTTCAGCAAAAAGCAAATAGATCCGCACGGCAAGAGAGCACGATGCGGACTGATTTTTTTCGTTACATTATTTTCGATTTCATAATGTGACCCCCAGTATATTAAAGAAAGACGTATGTAGTCCTACGTCAAAAATTACAAGATCCATAACGGTCGATTTTTTGCAAAAATGTAAATGATTGCTCATAACACACAATTACGCAAAAAGTTATGCGAATCGGAGAAGGTCGAGTTTTTCCGATGCGTCATTGGGCGTTGAATGGATAACAAGTCATGTTAAGAGACTAATTTTACAACATGCAGTTTAGTGCAAATAAAGCATTGAATTTTAATTTTCTTCCACCAAGGCTCCTGCATTTGAAATGGAGCCAACATCCAAATTTATGTATGTGTGATTTAATTGGCAAAAATCGTCATCTAAGCGCACCTGGGTAAGATATCGTATGGGTAAGATATCAATATGTGGGCTATTAGTACTAGACACGGAAGAAGTCAGCACATGGCATGTAGACGATTTATAAGGTACTGGAGTTAAATGTAATTTAAAAACTTTTCTCATTTTCTTTTCAATCAATCAGGATTCCACTGGTGGTCTGGTTTCAGCAAAAATCACTTCCCTCAATCATCTTATCAAGTAGCAACAATTAAAACAAACAACATGTTATACTTACTGCCTTCATCGGTGTTGTACAGTGGCAAATAGGTGTCGTTCAACGGCCCGGACAATTGGAGGAAGTTTTTGATGATTGCCGCAAATGTTCGACCCTGAAAATTAGCAGAAACAACAAACGAAGCGCATAAATAAATAAATAAATAAATAATAATCCGGTGATTTATTGGGCGTCATATAGAGGAAAAACATTTAAATTCATTCAAGTAGGTAGCCATCGAACGGTATAATTAATTACCACGGAGTGTTGTGGCTTTTTTTTTTGCTTCTTCGCGATAAAGTCACATTTAGAATCCTGAATGCGATAGAATCAGATTGGAGTAGGAAACAACTCACGACCTTAAACCCTGGCCACATCTGCACACGTTTGTAAATTCCGAAGGTCGTAACGTGATCGCGACTTCCACCAGCAAGTTCAGTGTGCCATAATGCTCTCTAAATAGGCATCGGTAATTGTTCGCGCAGGTGACTGGGCTCAGCCTAAATATATTTATATACCTACCTAACTACTATACAACTATAATAGCGGAAAACTGAAACAGACGTCTGTTAATATAGCTCTCGGTAGAGGACCGACAACAGCGTGACACACAGACAGGTGTGGCGTTTGGTTATTGATGCTTGATTATTATTTAATCAGTTCTAAACGGAGGTTAATCTGAACCGAACGGTTTTACAGTCACTTTAGCCGTCGTATGTCATTTGGAATGGCATTTTTTTTCCGTCAGCGATGAACTTTTACGCTTTTGCCGATATTGACACCAACTGGGATACATGCTGCAAAGGAGAAGGTTAAAGCTAGGAGGAGAAAGGTTCGCAACGGAAATCCAATATTCAGCATTTCTAAGCCAATTAAGCATTCAACTACTTGTGGTGACAGGTAACGGTATTCTATCCAGTGGTTATATCATGCTTTAACAATCGTTATTGATTTTATTTATTAGCTCATTGCGCTCTGTTGGGAACAATTCAGAATATTTTAAGGCAATTTTTTAATAATGCCGGAGGAATTAACGACCGTTCAAGAAATGCACTTCTTCTTAGAAGGGCCTCGAAATATCTCTGATTTTATGGAAAAAATGTCGGTACACGATGTTTTACTCATTATAAGGTTTTCAACGACGTCCAATTAACCTGTAGCTCACTTAATCTTCGTTACAGAAAATATACTTAGTTGAAAAATAAGGTAACATAATACTTCAAGATCTTGAAGTTCTAAACTACATGACAGGCACGTAACATCTTACACGACTTACAACAGCACTAGAACCCATTAATACATCCCTCGCGATGAGGATTTGACTGGTATACTAAATATACAGAATCTTCATTCACTTCAATGCAGTCAGGTTCGTAGCTGCGGTTGGTGGAAGCATGTCTCGTAATTACTCATCTGTCCAAATAGTCGCCATGGCCGCAAGGATTTCCTATAGCTCGTGCGAACCCAAGTGTATCAAGTTCAAGTGCAACGTCAGAAATACTTACTCGGTTAGTTGCACTTGCCACTTGATATCGATGATGTTCGGATTCAGCCACCACTTCTAATGGTGTACTGAACCCGCATTCGCATTGATTGGTGGCCCTACTCGCTAGCCATCATACCCCACCGACCAGACTAACATGCACGCTAATCGTTGTTGGCGGCGGCGACCGATGATGTATGTATATTTGTTTGCATGCTGCCGCCGCCGCCGTCGTCGTCATCATCGAGTAGTTTTTAAATAATTGTGCGGCTTATTTATGTGCGAAAAAAAAACCCTACACCTAGCTACGCGTAGATTTACGCTGATTTTATGACTCTCTAGACCGGTTGGCGGCAAGTTCATTCATAAGAAGTGGCAGTAGTAGAGTAGTCCAGTAGCATGTAGTCTATAGTAGACTTGCACACAGCAAACGATGTTATCCAATGGAATGACGGCTTCTTGATAGTCATGCGTGTAAATTGTCGTGGAGTGATCATTTACTGTGAGCTTGGCTGGTAGTTGATATAGTGTTAGGACCACCGATGGGCAGAATGGGTGATAATTTATTCAGTATATTTAGCGCAGGCTTTTGTAAATAATTGTATCCCACTTGATTGGGGCATGCTAATTTACTTGTCACACATTAACGTAAAATATGTGTCTAGGATAATCGAATGTGATAGATTGCTTGGAAAATATATCATATTATCTGTATGATCCAAACTTGCACTGTCGATCTCATTTTTCAACCCAACAAATGTAAATGATCTTGGTTCGAATCGTTGAAAAATGATCGTGGTTCGAACTAGTTTAAAAACAAACTGACAAACCATTCAGCATTTGTGTTCGAACCTGACGTTTGTTTTTTCCGTGGAGTTTTTTTTATCTATAATCGGTTGCTGATCCAAAACCAGGCCCAGGCGACAATTTCTAGCTCCTCATTCTAGGTCCCTATTATTTGCCGCTGAGAAGCTGTTCCGAAGCCAAGTAGAACCTTCACGAGGCGTCCCATCATTAGTTCCATCATTAGTTCCATCATTCGTTGAGTCGCGTCGCAGCATTGAACCTGACTATTGGCCACGAAAAGGCTTGCCAATGCAAATCGAAGGAAGACATTCCGCGCAACTACCATAAACCGGACTAGTTCATGTTGATCTTCGTCAAACTTCGTCTACAATTTGAACTTATACATCAACAAATGTAAGGCTCTCTTCAGGTTCAATTGGCTAAACTTGGTGAGTTCGTTCCATTTTGTAAATTTTTATCTTTTCAAACCAGTAACGTTGGGAGATCATCTTTTTGTGGTGCGTTACTGGTATAAGATCTACCACCAAACCCTAGTCGTGACAACTCAGGATTTTCCAGTAATCAAAGGATCACATTTTAGTCCTTGTTTCTTTTTATGACTTGATAATAGTGAAAAGACTCGGGTAGTGACCACCGCGCCGTTATGCATTTCTATATTGTATATTTCAATTCAAAAATATTGTTTATGTTCATAGATTTCACATAATCGTTTTCCCTTTGTCCTTCTCCTTTTCCTTTCCCTCTTCTCTTTTCAGAAAGCGAGTAATGGTGCTATAGCCATAGGTCATAAAAGGCTAGGACAAGAGTTAGTGCTCATGCCCCAACCTTTAGAAGAAAATGGAGCATCACCTAACCTTTCTAGTTTCGATGCTTCCAACGACCAACCAATCATATAATTACCAAAATCGGAACGTTCGGTACGAGATGTCCACGTTTCATCCATCCGATTTAAACAGGCCCGATGTTTTCTGAATCATCTTGCCCCTTTAATGCAGCACAGTAGACCTGGCCGTTTTGATGTGTGACGCATGTGAAACATATATCAAATAGACAAGAAAAATGATGTATTTATATTTTTCATTTTCCAGGATGCTTTCAAGAACTGGCTGTGTTGGTGTTGGATTAGATTAGATTAGACATTCAGAAATTTAGAATCAAAATATTACTAAACTAAGCTTTTTTTTAAGCCAAGAAACGTGGATACTGGCGGCAATTCGTGGACGGATTATCGCGCGAAACGTCGATGAATACGCTTTGGAATGCGGCGCGAAGGATGCGTAACCGGTCTTCAAACAACGAGAGCGAGGAGTACTCGGATAGTTGGATTCTCAAGTTCGCACGAAAAGTATGTCCTGATTCTGTGCCGGCACAGATGATTCCTCGCGAAACGACAAATTCGGGAGATGAGATCAGCCAGCCTTTTTCAATGCTGGAACTCTCACTCGTGCTCCTTTCGTGTGGCAATTCGGCTCCGGGGGCTGATAGAATCAAGTTCAACTTGTTGAAGAACCTCCCAGACTTCGTTTAGAGGCGCATGTTGAACTTGTTTTGTCAGTTCCTGGAACTCAATATTGTTCCGGATGATTGGAGGCAAGTGAGAGTTATAGCCATTAAAAAGCCTGGAAAACCCGCGTCAGATCGTAACTCGTATCGTCCCATCGCAATGTTATCGTGCATTCGAAAATTGTTGGAGAAAATGATCCTGTTTCGCTTGGACAAATGGGTTGAGACGAACCACCTACTCTCAGATACTCAATTTGGTTTCCGTAGGGGCAAGGGAACGAACGACTGTCTCGCGTTGCTTTCCACAGAAATTCAGTTGGCTTTTGCTAAAAAAGAGCAAATGGCTTCTGTATTCTTGGATATCAAGGGGGCTTTTGATTCAGTATCGGTTAAAGTCCTTTCAGACAAACTCCACGCTTGTGGCCTTTCTCCATTAATTAATAACTTTTTGTACAATTTGCTGTCAGAGAAACATATGAGCTTTTCTCATGGAAACTCTACAGATTCACGATTTAACTACATGGGTCTCCCCCTTTTGTACAATTTCTACGTCAGAGAAATTGACAATTGTCTAAGTGACAACTGCACGTTGAGACAACTTGCAGATGACGGAGTAGTGTCTATGACAGGGCCCAGAGAGGCCGACCTGCAAGGACCCCTACAGGATACCTTAGACAATTTGTCTACTTGGGCTATCCAGCTAGGTATCGAATTCTCCACGGAGAAAACTGAGTTGGTCGTTTTTTCTAAGAAGCATAGCCCAGCACAACCGAAGCTTCAACTTTTGGGTAAGCCGATCACTCATTCCATGTCTTTCAAATATCTTGGGGTCTGGTTCGATTCAAAATGCACCTGGAGATCCCACATTGAGTATCTGAAACGGAAATGCCAACAAAGGATCAATTTTCTCCGTACAACTACCGGAACGTGGTGGTTAGCCCATTCGCAAGATCTTCTAACGTTGTACCGGATAACGATTTTATCGGTTTTAGAGCACGGTAGTTTTTGCTTCCAGTCGGCGGCTAAAACGCACATCATCAAACTGGAACGGATCCACTATCGCTGTCTTCGTATCGCGTTAGGATGCATGCACTCGACTCATACGATGAGTCTCGAAGTGTTAGCGGGCATGTTGCCACACTCTGATCGGTTTTCGGAGTTATCCCTCCGGCTCCTCATCCGTTGTGAAATTATGAACCCACTGGTGATTGCAAACTTTGAGAAGCTTCTTGAGCTAAATCATCAAACTCGTTTTATGTCATTGTACTACGTGTACATAACACAGGATGTCAGCCCTTCCCAGCATAATCCCTATCGTGTTT